GTTGGGAACTGGTTGGATCTGCCAGAGCTGGATAAGAAGGGGGAGAAGAGTGAGGCGTCCCTGTCCTTGAGCAGATCCCAGGAGCTCTGCAGGAAGTTCTCCCTCACAGCCAACATCTTCAAGAAGTTCCTGAGGAGCGTTCGGCCAGACCGAGACAGGCTTCTCAAGGAGAAGCCTTGCTGGCTTCCGCCTGAAGACAAACAGCCTGAAATTTCAAAGAGACCCAAAAAGATGAACAAACTCAAGGGGACATTTTACTTCCCACTTCATGGGAACATCCAGAACCATCACAGCAAAGCAGAGAGGTGCCCAAAGGCAGAAAACAACAGCGAGAAACCCAAAATTGGCACCAAGAAAGTCCACGATACCATAGACTATACCCAGTCTGGGTTTGATGTCAATACAGCTGTTTGGGTCTGAGTTTGTCAGCGTTCTCTGCTCTGCCGAGCGTTTGTTTCACACCGGAGAGGAGCTGGGGGCTGTACACGTCTGCTCAGGAGACCCCTGAGCTCTCAACACGGACTGAGGCGAGGGAGGAGCGCTCTGCCAAGCGTGCTGTGGACTTCAGTCGCCTGCAAGTGATGTTTTCCGAAGAACTGCGGCTTCGGGGGCAGTCCAAGCAGCAGCTGACGCAGCCCCACGTGGGGCTGATATTTGCAAAAATAATGAGCATCTTTAGCAGCTTTAGGGCAAGAGGTGCCGCGGAGGAGCAGCTCCTGGAGCCTGGCTTACGAGAGCCACTTCAGGCGCATTCCATCATCTCTAGTTAAAATAGCTGCAGCACAAAATTCACTGTGTGCATGTGTGTGTATGAGTGTGCAAATATATATATAGTTTTAAAAAAAAATCTATTCCTGCTTGTGTGCACTTAAAACTGGGTTATAAACCAGGCGATTCAAGCGTTGCACCTGAAGCACTTGTTATTTAAATTGAGAAAAATCAGTTTGAATTTGTAAGACTTGAGCAATTGCTAAGCGGGGGTGCTGAAGCCAGCTTTGTTGTATTTCAGCTGTGGGGTTTCCCCCCTAAACTGCATCTCCGTTGCGCTCCCAGCGGCTCTCCTTCCCCTACCAGTTAAACCAGTAGGACGCAAGGCTCCTTTCGTGGAAGTTTGTGACTCTCAAGCTCTCAGCGGGTTTTGCTTCTCTCCCGGTGCCCTTCTCCCCACCGGTCGCACCAGATACAATGTTGCAAAAGTTGATTGTTGCTGTTGCACCAAGATACAAAGTTGCAACAGACGGTTATTGTTGTGGTTTCCTATTGCTGTTGTGTACAAACCTTGTCTTGACAGAACCAAGTTCTTCAGTGTCCGGCTCTCCAAGAGTTACCAATAAAGTGGCATCAGCCTCCAGCGTGCCGTGGGGCTGTCTCCATCCTGGGGCGACCCTCAGTCCCGCTTTTCTCCAGTGCAGAAGCTTCTGGGTTTTCAGTCATGAAAATCCAGCCGAGCAGGCACAAAGGGCTCCGCTGGTGGGGGCCGGAGCTGGGAGCGTGTGCGGGTTGTGTCAGCCTGCTCCCCGCCGGGAGCAGGGAGTTTGGGGAGCGGCCAGGAGAGTTTCCATTCAAGGAGAGGTTATAAATCATAGCAGGGAGAAGAGCTGCAGCCAGAGGTCCCTGCCAGGGTCCCGGCGCTGCTCTGGAGGCATGTCCCACTGCGGCCCACGCGCATCCCCGAGAGCCTTCGGGTAACGCTTCAACAACCACCTTCCTCCCCCAGCACAGGGAAGGGCAGGGAGAGAAACATTTGGGGGAGAATCTGCTGCTGAGGGAGGGCCTCGGAGCCGCGCAGTCCCCGGCTCGTGGAGGGGGACAGGGCCACGCGGGTCCTGCCATGGGTCCCCTCCTCGCTGTCTGCAGGAATTAAACGCGCCTGAGGCAAGCCCCCAGCGGCTCCGTGAGCCCCAGCACGAAGGCTGTGCAGAGCCGGTTGTGTTGCAGCGGGGGGAGGCACCCCGCACTCCCCGTTTCCATCAGCCCGCAGCCTCACCAGATGCTTCGTGTGCGCAGCAGTGTTATGTTGCAAAAACCTGTTCCGCTCACTCCAAGTTCAGGAAGGGCTTATGCGCAAGCAGCAGTATTATTTTTTTTAAACATGCAATTCTATTCCTGTTGTAACTTCCCAAGGCAGAGAGGCCAGTGGAGCAGAGGCATGGAGGGAGACTTTTTTTTTTTCCCTCCCCCTTGCAAATTAAATATAGGCACCAGACAAGCCCTGCTTCTGCCCATACAAGGAGAGGAGTGGGTCAGCATCTGAAAGCTATGCTCAGCACTTTTTCAGGAACCTGAGTTGCAAGCAAGCTTTTGTTTTTCCTCCCTCACTGGCTTTAGGTCTGGTTGGTTTCCCCCTTCTTCATTTCTCTGAATGCCAAAAGGCTGTTTCTAAAGCATTTTGTTTTCCTCCTCTTTTATCAGTAGTTCATCCTGCTTGTTACAAACACACGCTCCCAGCTCCCACCAACCTTTCCACAGAGTCAGCAAAGAGAAGGAGCTTTCTATAAGCAGGAGCACAAGAGAGAGCAACAGCTTTTCCTGCACCAGCCTCACCCCAGGGCTTCCCTGCTGCCCAGGCACCCCCGACCCCGGGGGGCACCCCCAACCCCAGGGCGCACCCTGGCCGTACCTGCCTGGCACCGAAGGCTGAGCCCCACGGAGAGAGGAGCACCGTGCCACATGGGGAGAGGTTCTGGGGAGCCCAGCACCCGCACCAGCGGCTTTTTAAGCTTGTTACTGAGCATTGCCCTGAGCTGTGGTGAGTGTGTGGGCAGCAGGCAAGGGCCCAGGCTGAGCACGGCGGGGCAGGGCCATGGCCATGGCCATGGTGACACTTTGGCCGAGAGATGAAGGGTATGTTTCTGCAGGTGGCTACCTCTCCAAGGCCATGTATTATCCAGGAAACAGGATGTGTTCATGCAGGACACAGGGAGATCTGGAGCCTGAAATGCACTTTGGGAACCTACTTCGTGGGAAAAGCGGTTCTGGAGGATTTGCCCCCGTTTCCTCCCGTGGATGCCACCCCCATCCAGCCCACGCCCCC